GGAGACAGTAAGCAGGATCAGGCTCAGATCAGTCAGGTCTGAGGGTAAGCCAGTAAGTCAAATCTGTGGTTGAGGATGAGGGTGAGAATCAGGGAGCTACAAGACAGGGAACAAGTGCAATTGCAACACAGCTGCAGAGTAGCTCAGGCAGGGGCCAAGCACAAGAGCTTCAGGTTCAAAGTCAAGGCCAAGTGAAGGAGGGGGAGCCCCCACTGAGGTTCCTTAGCTCAAGCAGCTCCTGGAGAAGAGATCTCAGCAGTGACCTGGCCTCTAACCACCAGCTGAAAGGCGTCGTGACAGCTTTGCACTTCAAGCAAGCTCAACAGCCAGAAAGAGCAAATCCTGTGTTTGAAAACAAAACAAGATGGACAGACAATCTAGGAGCTGGTTATGAGTGGAAAATTCATCTCACCTAAGGTTTTGCATACAAGCTCGTGTGAATCATGGAGGAGGGCATTTTAAACATTCTTTTTTCAGTTGCTTAAGTTAGGCATTACCATTTCAGGCTGCTGGTTGCTGTGAAATCTATTCCTGTAACACAATGATCCTTGTGAATTAATAAACCATGAGCTTCACAGCATCTGTGTTTGGATTCATCTCCTGGTTCTGGCACTTAAAACTTAGCCATCCCAAGACTGAGTGCCTCAGTGTGAACCTAGACCTTCCTACATAAGTAAATTGGATGCACAAAAAATATGCAGGTTGGTTAGTCTCTCCAGCATACACCAATAGGATAGAAACAATTTAGTTAAGTGATGAAGGGAGGAGGTCAGGAGCCATTCTTTTTTGGGTTTATTTTTTTAAGTTTCTTTAATCATTCAAATCCAAGGATATTAAAGACATTAATGAAATATATTAAATATTTTAAGCTGCTCTGTAAGGGGATATATGACAATGTTTGTAATGAATACCTGTACTCAGAAATTTGGGGGTTGCAGTCTGAACCTTGAAAGTTTAATTAGAGGCTTGTTAAATTCTGTTTCTGGTCCTAAAGTGAGGATTTTATTTTAAAATTAATGTTTTCTAGAAAAAAAAGAACTAATAAAAAGCAATTTCATTTGGCATATAATCAATTTCATTCACCTCATTGTGTCCAATAAGGTAGAAAGGATTACAAAAGGTATTACAAATCCTTGATTCTTGTAAGTGATTAGAATTTTATGCTTATTTTCTTTAAGTTAGTATTTGACCCCAGTAGTGTAAGGATCAGTCCATATTAATGACTCGTGATAGCAATTTGAATTTGATAAAGTTCTATGGGATTACCACGTGATTGTTTCATTTATTGAAGTATCACAGACAGCCAAAATTCCTCTTTGCCTCTTAGCATATTCTTTCTCATGTTTGGATATGTGCTATGAACACAGGCAAAACTATTTCTGGCAACTACACAAGTTTTATAGGAAAAGAGTTCTGTAACACTTCCATTGAAAACTTTCCCTTTCTTACCCATTCTGTACACACAATGAGAGTCAATTGTCAAGGAAACTCAAACCTCCTTAGATCAATGGTCTACTTTACCAGGGTCTCTCCAAAACAGAAGTTTCCTGACCCATCTTTTTACCCTTCCTTGGAGGTCTGTAACAATTTCCTATAAATGTTTTACTGCTTCTCTTAGCTGCACTTAGTGTTGGTCACATTAGCTAACCTACATATGCAATTTTACTCAAAATGCCATAACCTCTAGCTAGATCTCCACATCACTTCCCATCTTCTGAATTTGTCTCTTTGATAAATTGTATACTCTGGTATTGTTATATTAAACCATTTAAGCAAGAAACAGTTATGTTTCTCCTTGAAATGTTTACTGGTTTGTTCCAAAACATTACTTTATGTGCCTCATAATTTTACACAGATTCTCTTCATAAAAGGAAGTGAATTTCCTTTCTCTAGGCAATGCTTTCTATCTGTATTACTCACTTCAGCAACTTTAAAAATTACTTATGCTTTAAAAGTTGGCTCATCTCTCTCCCCCATTTTTCACTACCTATCCTTTTGCTAAAACAACACACATAAAACTGAAGACTAAAACTGGAAGACTAGTTCCCTGCTAATTTCTTATACAGATATGGCTTGTCAGTTCTAGATGACTTTGGATCAGCCCCAAACAAAAGAGGATATTCTGGGTAGAATAATTCTGCACAAAACAATGTGATCTGTATAAAAAATCACTTACTGAATCACCAGCACCTCTTTCCACTCCTAGGAGATGTCCCACTGAAGCAATGCCTGAATTAGTGCAGAGTGATTTGTGGCTTTCCAGCTGTCATTCATTAATTCTTAGGAAATACAGCACACAGTACAATAGTACTCAGCCTGTGTTCTGCAGTGCCTTAGGAAGAGTGTAATTTGTCTGCTGAATGTTCTTTAGACTTGTTTTCAAACAGTTACCGTAACTCATTACTTCTAGAACCCCTCAAACATTTCACTCTTGATGAAATATTGTGTCAGTCACACAGACCCATAAAAGGGGAAGGGTAAGGAATTGTGTCTGTGGAGAGTTTGGTCTATGGAACAGCAGTTTAGTTGAAGACAGGGGGTTTTACTCCAGTGCTTTGCCATTTCTGTATCTTTGGCAGAAAGGAAAGCACAGACAGGACAGACAGCAAGGGCTAGAAGTGACCTGGACACTCTGATGCACTGGCTTTGGCACCTCACCACGCAGCTCATCTGTAAAAGTTGTCATGTTTTAGAAAGAGAATCGTTTGACTATAATTCACTGCTAGCTGCCTTGTTACTTTGACCAGAGACAAGAGAGGACATGGTGAGGTGTGGGCCCCATCTGAGGATCCAAGAGCCTGGGGACCTTCCTTTAGCATGAGCCAAGGAGCAGCTTGCACAAAGCCAGTCAGAGAGACTGTGTAATGCCTGCTTCATCAAGGACTTTTGGCAAAATCTATGACAAGTTCAGCTCAGCCAAACCCACTGCACCTTTAGACATGCACTGTAGCAGAACTTGAGCACACAGGGAAGTTTTCTGGTGCGTCTCAGGCACCTTTGGCTTCCCAGAAATATGAGAAGTTTGCACAGGGATTTGTCTTTTGGTCTGTTGCTCTCTTGAGTTCACATGTTCATTATCCTGACCTGCACATTGGGTACCTAAGAGAATTTTTCAGCTTTATCACTGATACAGTTGATTTAAGACGTGAATAAAAAGATAGAAGCAAGAGGTAAACATGAGACAAGAATCATGACAAATATTGGGATTAACAAGGCCTAGCCATTGTTCAGTGTTTAGTAGGCACCATGACAGCAATTATTTTAAGGAAGGATTGGAAAAACAATGCTTCAAGTATTTTTATGGCCAGCTCCTCCCATGCTCAAGGGTTTTCATGCTTTTAGCTATTGCATCTGCAACTGAAGCTAACTGTGAAATTAGCAATTTATTTATCCCATGGTACATACACACACATTTGCAATAGTAAAAGTGAGCAAGAGGGAAGAGTGAACACTGTGAGTAAAAGTCAGAACTTCTTTTATCAGATTTTGCCATTCACTATTTAACCAAATACCTGTGGATTCACAGATTGAAGCTTTCCTTGTTCCTTCTTGTGGCTTATATGACTAATACTGTTAAACACAGTACTGCTATAGCTAAACAACATAATATTAGCTCTGCCAAAATAACAAGTTGGACAGATGAAATTTTGACCTTCAAAATGACTACCTGAATTAATAGAATCATAGAATAGAACCATAGAATCAACAGGGTTGGAAAAGACCTCCAAAGATCATCAAGTCCAACCCTACCGTGGTCACTAGACCATGGCACTAAGTGCCACATCCAGTCTCAGCTTGAAAACCTCCAGGGATGGGGAATCCACCACCTCCCTGGGCAGCACATTCCAATGCCTGAGCACTCCCTCTGGACAAAACCTCTTCCTAAGATCCAACCTAACCCTCCCCTGGCAGAGCTTGAGTCTGTGCCCTCTTGTCCTGCTGCTGGTTGCCTGGGAGAAGAGACCAACCCCCATCTGACTCCAACCTCCTGTCAGGGAGTTGCAGAGGGTGAGAAGGTCTCCCCTGAGCCTCCTCTTCTCCAGGCTGAACACCCCCAGCTCCCTCAGCCTCTCCTCATGGCACTTGTGCTCCAGTCCCTTCCCCAGCCTCGTTGCTCTGCTCTGGACCTGCTCCAGCCCCTCAATGTCCCTCCTGAGCTGAGGGGCCCAAAACTGAGCACAAAGGAAGCAGAAGATGCCATTAAGCATAAAATAGAACAATAAAAGCCTATGATTTGTAAACAGCTTTTGATTCTGTAACACTTAGTAAAAACAGATCTCCTTAGGAATACATGTGCACATTAAGGTATTTTTACAAAAACTACATTAGAACCTGTACTGTGTTTCTTGTGTTTTGTCATGCTCTAGAAAATATATCAGCATCTTTTATGGAAATTAACTGTCTCTGACAATTTAGTCACAGGTTTGAAAGATGATAAAATAAGATATAAAGTTGTTGCTAATCTCCTTGGAAGGTATAATTGAAAAACAAAAAAGAAAAATGAAGGCATGTCAACAGTGATAAAATTATCTAGACCACTCTATGTACATAGTTGGCAATCATTTATCCATCAAGATGCAGTCATGCATTATTATTTAGATTATTTAGATATGCATTTTATATTTAGACTCCTCTGTAAAATAGAAATTTTAGTTTAGTGTGCAACAGGCAAACAGCTGTTCCTAAGTGGAATCTGAGATATCAGAAAAAATGTATTTTATGTCCCACTTTCATCTATTGATGGAACACAATAATCATCACTGTTTCTAAGTGATTTTGTATGGAACTGAAAGTAATAAATAGATAAGGATTTCCATTTTCTGGTAAAAGTAACAGCAGTAACACCTGTAGACAATCTGATGTGTGAGCAGTACTTTCTGAAAGTTTCATGAAACATTTTCCTCTTCTAATGATTTCCTTAAGGGCAGGACTTTATAAAATTGCACATCTGAATTAAACTCCTACTGCTATTGTATATATAAGATGAGAAACTGAGTTACCTGTATGGCTGTGAGGATATTGGCTAATGCCTGACCATACGTGTCATGGCAGTGAACAGCAAGAGCACTCAGAGGAATCTCTTTCATAACAGCTTCCAACATTCTTTTCATACTTCCAGGAGTCCCCACACCAATTGTATCCCCCAGAGAGATTTCATAGCAGCCCATGCTGTACAGCCGCTTAGATACCTGATTAGAAACAGAAAAACACAAAGAGGTCAAGATGAAAGAATATAAAATAGGGTCAAGAACGTGCATGAAAAAGGACATACTTCTCTACAGGCTACAGGTTCTGACCTACTGACGTGGCCCTGTGTATCAGACACCCTCTATTTGCCCTTGAAAATTGTCACCCAAGAAGAAGATCCCATAGATCCTCTTATCTTGGATTTATAGTTTGGCTTCTGCACATGGAATATCCAGCCAAGCCGTATCCATCAAAAACTTGCTTTTTTGCTCTCCCACAGAATGCAAATGAGGAAAGTTTTAACACTATGAATTAAGTTTCTGTCAAGCCTTTTCCCAACATTTTCCACCCTCTGGGGACTTCCCAGCTGTTTGGTGTTCTCTGTGTACTTTTCAGCTTACAAGTTGTACAGGGTGAAGACCTGCCCTTTGGTTTGCTTATTCCATGAAGCCAAGCACATGGCCAAACTAAGGCAATAAATAATTAACAAGAAGTCTGATTTTGCTTCCTCTTGGCACTTAAAAAAATCACTGAAAACTGAAGTTTTAATACGTTGCAATCAATATGGGTTTTGCTTGCTTTTCATGAAATCAGACATTAAAATACTAACAAACAGAAACTGAAACTTAATTAACATTCTAGTTTAAAAAATAATTAAGACCAAACAAAGCCATATACAAATAGATCTTACTTATGTAATTAGACCCCTAAATATTTCTGGAATTATGTCTTTGAGGAGTTCTTTGCATGAGTAAAAGAACTGAGGTCTGGCTCCATAATTTTCATATGGAGAGAAACACATTCAGAAGCACAAAATCATGTTTTCACTGAAAATATTGCCTCAGGAATTGAAAGCAGGATCTTTCCATCTTATTCTTGTGGAATTTATTTGGAAAGGTTTCACTGCATTTTCATTTTCTGAATATGTTTGTCCCCTTTAGGATTCCCCACTGTGTATTAATGATCCCCAAAGGCCACTCCACTGCAACAGAAATTAAAAAACAAAACCAAAAACCAACCCTTTTCCAAGACATCTTCAGTTGCACTGCACTCTGCTGTTAAAGCAATTCCAGGACTTCATCAGTGGGATTGCTGTGAACATGTCTGAGGAAGCTGACAAAATGCTGTACCAGCAGTCTCGGAAGTGCTGGATTAGTATTGCTGTTCACTTAATTCAAAGAACAGCTGAAAAAGAACTTCAAATTGTTTGAATCATCCTATTTAAGGCTTGGGAGTGCTATGACTATGGCAAATGTAGTAAAACTGTGCTTTAAAGTCAGACCCTCTGGTTTGTATTGATATAAATTCAATATACACTTTAAGAAAGGGACATTTACCAGGCTGCAAAAGGGATTCTATCTCACAGCATATTTTTATATCATCAACACATGGCAGGTGTTTTAACTAGACTACTGTTGTAAGAAAGAAAAGGATAATCTGCACTCTGGGGTGGATTGCATCCAGTTAATCCCCAAACCTCAGTTTTTCATTAAGATCAGAGTCATATTCATGATTCAAAGTTTTCTAGATGAGCATTTTAGTGCTAACTGAGACTATAGAAACTGCTAGAAATCATACTACATTCACTTCTTTTCTATGCTCAGTCTTTAGGTCTTTCAGCTTTCTGAAAACAAACTTCTGAAAGATGAAAGGAGAGAGTGTGGAACTTTAATAACAAGCTGAGCATCATCACTGACTTGTCATGATCTAACCTTAAAGTGACCCTTAAAAAGAGATCTATATTTAATTTCAAGAAGAATGTGCATACTTGGAAGCTGAATGGGAGTTTTTCCTACTGAATTTTCTATCCTACCGTAGTGGGAGGCAGCCCATGAGTTATATCTTTGCAAGTTTTCAATGTGGATTTTTGGGAGGAGGGTGTGGGAGAAGAGAACACACTGTTTTGTCAATGTAATCAGGATGTGATTCTGAGCTTGCAGCTTTGTTGATTGAACAGGATTGTGTTCTGCACTGCTGAACAGTTTTACTATGCATGAGTCTTGTGCTACTCCCCTTGGGAACTCTGCCCTGACACCAAGCATTGATCAAAATGGGAGTTGGTGACCCAGCACTGCAACTCCTTAGGTATGTGAGCAGTCCTACTCCTGGAAATAATATCCAAAACTATATTATTCTAGTGAATACAAAGGTCATAATCCACTTACAGATTATTTTAAGCAACTAACAACATAAAAACACACTGCAGTCCTTGTGCTGTGCGGGAAACTTTAATGAGCCAAGTCTATTCCAACAAGAGTATGTACATTTCCTGTAGGCTGAGCAGAATGTGTGTTGGATAACATTTAAGTGAATTCATAGCTTTAGGTCAAAAGGAAGTTAAGGAGAGAAAGAAGCAGGAAGAAAAGTCAAAACAACCAAGCCTATGACTGGAAGACAATGGATAGCACAACTGGCTTCAGGTTCGTTACATGGTTCTTCCAAAAACTTTCAAGCTTTGTTTGTGTAAAGCTGAAATTCACAAATCACAGGATGATAAATGATTAAGCAGTGACTCCCATTTCAAGGAGCAGCAAAGTGATGAAATATGACCATGCAGTTTATTTTAAGATATGATAATTGTTTGTTGTTTTGTTTTGTTTTGTTTTTAAATAAAGAACCATAAAGATGTACCTGATGTATTCCAGGAGTCTGAGAGCATCTGAAGTGTGCACTCACTAGACAACTATGTGTAAAATAGACAGGTATCTAGTGTGCCAGAAATGCATGTAGTCTGCAATAATTGTAACAATGCATGGAATCTGAAATAATACACCTCACAGAATAATCAGAGTAGGAAAGGACCCTTGAGAATCATCTAGCCCAACTCCTGGTCCTGTATAGGATATCCCTGAGAATCACACCATGTGCCTGAGACCTCTTCTAATTGCTTTTGCTTCAGTTAAAAAAATCTTTTGCTTAACAATAAAAAAAAAAAAAATCACCGTTATTGACTGCAGAAGAAAGAGTCTAAACCTCTCAATCACAGCTGCTGATTGCAGTGCACAGTCAAGGGAGACAAAATGTTCCCATCCCAAGAGAGATGGTGACCAGAGCAACAGCACTCTGAAAGGATTTAGTTTCACAGTGAATAATTTTCATAATTCTGATTCAGTAAAGGGTAAGTAGAGATTCAGATTAGATGCTGAGATTTATATTAGATGTTAGGAAAAATGTTTTCTCTCTAAGGGAGTTGAGGCCCTGGGATATTGCCCAGGGAGGTGGTGCAGTCACCATCCCTGGAGGTGTTTCAGAGGCATCTGGATCTGACACTGGAGGATCTGGTTTAGGGTTTAGTGGTTCCAGCAGTGACAGGTTAATCGTTGGACTTGATGCTCTTTGATGTCTTCTTCAACCTTGATGGTTCTATTCTATGATTCTAAGTGTAAGTGTTTGCATAAAATCCATCAGATGCATCCATATATATACAGCAGTGCTTGCTGAATCAGGGCTGGAATTATAAATTTAATGAAGTAGCTTTTGTTCATAAATACAGAGTGGTGTATAGGTGTACAAGAAGACACTTATTGAGGTGAAAACAGAAATTAAGATGGCTGTGTGAGTAAAATATTGCAGGTTTGGAACACTGAAAAAAACTCCCAATGACAAACTGAGATGAAGCTCTTCTGTGCAGTGAGAGCAGTTATAAAATGAGCAACATGGAAAGAAGACTGTTGGGGAACATGGTAAGCAATACATCATCACTGCCCTAAATAAAACTGTGCCACTTCTAACCTTCACTTCATACCAAAATAAATTCATTTAGAAATACTGAGTACCTTCTAAACTAGCTATTTTCTTCCAAGAGTGTGAGTATGTGTGGTTGCTGTGGGAGAAGTATTATCACAAGTTCCATCTGGAATGTATACTAGAAATGCAGGAGAACAGGACCTGAAAACCACCCAGGAAGAACATGATGTATCAGAGAAATACTGACTAGCTGCTAGTGCTACAAATTACAAAATAATGGTCTGGATATTCTGCATGCTCACCAAAAATAGCTAATTAAGTGTAACAGAGAAGTCTGTATTTAAGTGCAAAGCCAGTGTGTTCAGCCTTGTGGCCCTGGAGTTCTCTCTCCACTTGCTTTTTACTGTCCATTTCAAGTTTGATGCCCTCTTTGCCTTCCTGCAATATTTTGCACTTGTGTTTCACTCATCTCTCTCTCTCTCTGTGCTGGAAAAAATATAGGCTGGACATCTTCTTCCTTATCCTTTATCCTAAATGGGAAAAGGGGACAGGGAGGGAGGGAAAGTGCAACTTATTCCATTCTGGCAGTAAAGCAAGTTAGGAAACATTACTGGGGGTGAGTTTTGGTTCACATGTCAGTCACATCACACTCCCCAGAGGCACAATGTTGTAGCAGTGGCTCTACCAGCTGACAGAACAGTATGTTTCTTCCAGCATAAAATGGATTTAAAAGCAAGAGGTTGTGCTGGAAACCATCTTGTACAACATGGTTCACTGACATATGTGCTTGAGCCTATTTCCTTAAGCATTTCCTTACCTTCTTGCTGGAGGAAATAGGTTTTTCTCATGAGTGATAACAATCAAAATACACAATTTTCCTCACATTTGACTGCCTGTGGTCAAGTGAGGCTATACCAGTTTTAGCATTAGCTATGTGCTTGTTTTCCTTAAATTTAATCCATTAAAGATCTTTTTATGGTTAAGCAGAGAACATTACTTAGAGACATTTTAAAATATGGTTTTGAATCATAAAAAAGAGAAGCCAGAAGTTCACTCTTACTTCTGCCACTTTAGCTGGTACGATGTTTCCTTCATATGGGCATCCCAATGCACACGACACATACCTATGATAAAAAGAAAACACAAAGATATTTCTGATTTATATAAATATATATATATATATATATATACACCTATATTCATCCATGTTACATTAAAAAAAATAGGTTAAAGACAATTTTGGATACTTAAGCCAGTCAATGGCTTCAATAAAAATGAATGACAAAAAGAATGAATAAAGGAATGAAAAGTTAAAATTACATCAGATGACAGAATCATGAAGGTTGGAGGAGACCTCTAAGATCATCCAGTCCAACCATTAACCTGTCACTGCTGCAATCCCTAAACCCTCAACGA